TGGCTCTCATCTTAGCGAGTCTTAGTATTCCTTTCGTTATTTCATGGTTGCCGCTACTGCTACATTCTGAGTGAGTTAAGCAGCTTGGCGTAGGTAATTGGACTGAAACAGCTTGCCAAGGATAACTTTATTAATAATGGGACTCCCAAATATGGAAGCAATGCACAAGGACTGGTGTAACCAAAAACATTTCATAGTAAAAAAAAGAAGAAGGTATTTTTAGACACTGCTGTTTACATTACATAAAGAAAAACGTCCCCGTCAATAATTATCACAACATAATTTTCGACCATTATCTGGAACCTTCACTTCCAGATCCTAAGTCAGCCAGTGATAGACTTTCAGTCTGAAATCTATATAAGAATCCTCTCGATAACTTCGTGCTCAAATTTCCTGCACTTCTTCATGACGATGGAGGTTTCAGAGGCAAACGAGTATCGTTCTCTATTACTTCCCCCCTGCGGTCATGGCTGCTGCCCGAGTTACAACAGCAACTATACTCGATCTATTCGGCGCAACACTCTCAGTCACAGAACAGTGAACCTCCTCCAAAGTCTCCCGCTCGCGTAGGGCAAGACGGCGGAAGACGGAGAAGAGGTGCCTTTGATCTTTGTGCTCGATGACGCCCATATCGCCCCAAGTGAAAGGTGGCAGCGTAGGTATGACGACAACTGACAGTTGCATAGTGTGCCGTAACATGTGGTGGGACTCGGAGGGCATCTGTCGACCGTACACAGAGAAAGATATTGGTAAGTACTTGTTAACTGCATTTTCTGTAAGTACCGGTAAATGATGAGAACTGTTTTCTGGAGTGTCTTTCTCAGTTTATGTCACGAATGCAGATCATTGTTCAGGGACAGAAAAACATAAAACTTTTTAAAATCTCCTTGATTGAAGTTCGATTATATAGAATCAGACATGGAAACTTATAGGATCTCATGATCTCATCTGATTCCAAGACCATAGATCATACCGAGTGATACCCATCGTGCAAAACAGTAAAGCAGCGGGTTCTGCAAGAAGCAGTCTGTGAAAAGCAGGATGTAATCAAAGGGAAGGGGAAAACGCAAAAAAAATTCTATTTGGAAGAGTAGGAAATACCAATAGCACAATTTTTATCGAGCGAACACTAAATTCAGCGGACACGCTTCTGCGCGTGTGTGGAGAGAGAGAGGGAGAGAGCTGGGTGTACTGTGAGCCTTCGATTCCCTTGAAGTCCCTGTTCCAGTACATTGTACTGCAGGTTTTCCTGGCCAATTTCGGAAAATGTGTAAATGAATTAGTAACAGCAGCATTCGTTTTCGAGCGAAATAGAACGAACATTGAAATCCCCGTTTCTATTTAACAAATAACAATTCTATTTCAAGGAGGGTGCATTCAGTCGTATAGAGTCAGCGTGCAATGTCCCAATATTGCGCTAGTTTAGCATGTTGATATTCATTTATGCGCGAAATCGAATGCACCTCTGCAATCCCGCACTCATCTTAATTTGAACTTAAATGTATTTCGGAAAATGTGCGGACGATTTCGTGCGAAGTGTTATTAACGTATGCCTGGCCAAGAATTAGAATTCGTTTGTGTGCCAACAGAAGTTACATTCTTAGAAGTGTTTAGTTGATTGGTTATATGTTTGAATATTCATGATTGAAACAAACCATTCATGTTGTCATTGGAAACTACTGACTACTGTAGGAAACCTATAAGCACCGGCGCTGAGGGAACCTTCCTTCTTGTGCTGCAGCGTTTCAATCACAGAAACCCTTTTTTTTAAAAGTTTGATAACAAACACACTATAAATGAGTAACATCACATTTATTATCAAAGTGGTGCGATGATTTGTGTAACCTTGTATATTCTAATCAAATTGAACGTATATTTTGCGATTTTAAATTACAGCAAATGAAATGAACACTCACTTCCCCAGGGTTACAGTAACAGACAAATTTTCAGCGAATAAGAATGCACATTTATTGTCATTGGCAAGGAATACGTCAATCCCAAATCCCAGTCACGTATTTGTAACCTGTTTAACGAAGCGTAATGCACGTAATTAATTGCGGTAATATCGTCTACTCATCCACACTTACCTTACATACCAACTGTGAACATTGCTTTCTTTTCGTGCAGTTAAGAAAACTCAGTGAAAATACTCATTTTTCTTGAACTTGGAAGACGATTTTCAGCTGGCTTTTTGTACAAGGTTTCCTTGACTATTCCTCTCCCTTTTACGACGAATGACCCCAAAATGCCTTTGAACTTCTTTTTCAGAGGAGGGGAAACGTCCTGTGGACATGTGTAAATCCACAGGATGTCTTGCTGTCCTGCATCATGTGGACATTTTTTGTTCACAAGTCCACACTAGGTATGTAAGGTTAGCACGTCTTAGGCTACAGCAACAAATGCACTCTAAGAAGACAGAAAGAATCCTCTCGCCCCGTTCACGCTCTTATAATACACCCACATGCACACTTATATCATGACCGTCGCTACAGACCCATCTTGAATAACCTGACTGGCATTGGTAACTCAACTACCTTAGCTTGTTAAGGCTGCCTTTGACACGGAACGAAGAGATGCCCTAATACGGAATTAGCATTACGAAGGAACTTAGAGATGCCCTAATACGGAATTAGCATTACGAAGGAACTTCCAGCAAAGGAGACTCTTGGCCTGATGAATATACATTAGTCTATTTTTAGGTGATTGCATTGCGGCAATAAAAAGAAACTCGTTCCCGATAAGTTACTTTCACTAAATGCTTTTGACCAACCACTGTTAACTGATGTACTGTGAAGTGTGAAAGGCTTTCACTTCCAGATCTAGGCCTACGTCAGCCAGTGATAGACTTTCAGTCTGAAATCTATATAAGAATCCTCTCGATAACTTCGTGCTCAAATTTCCTGCACTTCTTCATGACGATGGAGGTTTCAGAGGCAAACGAGCATCGCTCTCTATTACTTTCCCCCAGCGGTCATGGCAGCTGCCCGAGTTACAACAGCAACTACTCGATCGATTCGGCGCAACACTCTCAGTCACAGAACAGAGAATCTCCTCCCGAACCCCCCGCTCGCGAGAGTTGGCCCTGGCCCCTCTGGTTGTTGCTGAAGTTGGTCGGGCTGTACAACTACCGGCGGATTGTGACGAGGCGGCGATGCCACCAGTGCCGACTGGCACTGTTCCAGCGTCGACTGCGGGAGAGGAGACAGGAGGGGGGTAGATGGCTCTACCCGGGGGCCTTGGAGGAGCAGACGGAGGACAAGACGGCGGAAGACGGAGAAGAGGTGCCTTTAATCTGCGTGCTCGATGACGCCCATATCGCCCAAGTGAAAGGTGGCAGCGTAGGTATGCAGACAACTGACGGTTGCATAGTGTGCCGTAACATGTGGTGGGATTCGGAGGGCATCTGTCGACCGTACACAGAGAAAGATATTGGTAGGTGCATCTGGTTCCTAGTGATATACGTAACGTATTAACTTTTGTTTAAGTGAGCGATGAAAAACCACGTCCACATACACTCTAAAAACGTCCGGGTCAGATTGACCCAGAATTGGGTTCCATTCGGTATAACCCTTTTCTGGGTCAATTATGACCCAGAAAGGGTCAAATATGACCCGAAAGGGGGTCCTAATTTGACTCAGAAAAGGGTCATACCGAATGGGACCCAATTCTGGGTCAATCTGATCCGGAAATTTTTAGAGTGTATTATGTTTCTTTGAACAGTGTTTCTTTCCTCCGCTCTGTTCTGCACACCAAAGCATCAAATGTCACGGTCATTGTTCAGCAATCGAACAGATAATATCAAGAATCTCTACGATTAAAGTTTGATGAGAATCACGAACATAAATTTTGGGATTTTGTGATCATAGGCTAATTGATTCTCGTGGATAGACGTATATGTCATTGGTAAACGTATATATGTGTTCACTGAAACACTGTGAGGGAACACAACCGATGTGACTGCCCACCCCATAAACAAGAGTTTTTTGCAAAATGCAAAAATTCATCCAAGATAAAGTAACGATTATCGCATCGTTTGAATTTGTGATAAGTTTGTGAGCGAGGCTCAATGTCGATAACAAGTTAACAGGGGCGTAACCACGGGGGAGAGGGGCCCACGGGGCACGTGCCCCGCGGCGGATGTCCGTGCTCCCTCAGGTGCCTCCTCCATTTGAAATCTGTGAATAATGTCCGATGAGATGAGAAAGCTATGCAGTTGCAGATTATCTTGTTATGGTGTCCCCTTGAAAACCTGTGTGCACCCCCAGGTGCCCACCGGACATGTAGGCCTAGCCCTACAGTTAGGCAACCGCAAATTAAGGTCCTTTAAATAGAACAAACTGTACTTGCTAAACATTTGGGCAGCAAATAAATCAATTTTCAAAACTCATCTTTTCCAACATGAAACAAACCGAGAAAAGGGGGAAGTGGAAAAAAAGGGGTGGGCAGGAGAAAACACGCCCCTTTTCATCCCTTGGAATTCCATGTTCTCGAGTCTCCCATGCAATTCCACATTGCAAAAAAAAAAAGGAACCAAAAAAAAAAACCACAAAAAACAAAACAAAACAGAACGCTGTCTGTGACCGAAAGACAGTGGCGTATCCACCGGGGACAACTTACCCCCGCGGACACAAGTTGCTTTTCATTTGGAAGGAAAATCGTTATATAAAAAGATACCAGTTTAACTTCGCCCTTGAATACGTCACTGCCCAAATAAATTCCAGTCCGTAACTACTTGTGCCTGTTTTTTAATACCAGTGACCTGATGCCTCTTCATGTATGTTCTTCTGAAATCGGAACATGTCATTTTTGCCAGGTGCTCGTGAATGGATCCATCGGGGAAGCACTGTACTATCGATCATATGGGTCTTGATTCTTTTTGGCTTCACGCTGTACGAGATGACCCTCCGAATCAAGTATTTGGGCGGTCAGAAGAAGGAGCTGGTGCCCTTCATCAACTTTGCAACGCACAATATCTTCAACATGTCCATCCCTGCGTTCGTCCTCCTGGCGAATGTTCGTCACTTGAGAATGGACCGTCGGAGACTGCGAAGGGTTGAAGGTTTCCGGTGGTGGAAGGCGCTGAGTATCCGGTTCATCGTGAGACGTTTGCAGCACCTGGAGATGCGGAACCGCCGAATGCCCCACAAGGCCTTTCTGATCATTTGTCTCGTCTGGCCCCTTTTTAACGGGATGTACAGCCTCATATTATTCGTCACGCGCCTTAAGTCTTCGGAGGAAACAGTGGTGTCCCTGGTTTTCAGCGTGTTGTGCATGATTGTGTGGGGCGTTTTTTGCTATCTGGTCCTGCTGCTGAGGCTGTCCTTCCTGCAGCAGCAACGCCTAGAGTTGGGGTTCCTCTGGCGGCACGCAGGTAAGCTTGATGTCTGCAGGCGTCAGCTGTCGATGTACGTGGAGGACCTGGGTTGCCTGCGTCAGCTCGTTTCTGGCTGGATCATCGTAGTAGTTGCGGTCTCGTCATGGGCCTTCTCCTCGATGCTGTACTGGGAGTACGTGGTCATCAGCAGCAGGTTGAAGGTTAAACGCGACTACTTCTTCGAGTTTAACTTCAACCTTTGGTCCACCAACATCATGTTCCTGTCTCTGCCTCTGTTGGCGGTCGGTGGGATGGAGCTGAAGGGTATGTGGTCTCGGTTCAAGTACTCTATCAGTCAGATGAGGAGTGAGTCCCATGATGCTTTCTGGGATAAGATTCTGGCTTACTGCGAGGAGCGGTCTCCAACCACCAGGGTGAAAATGCTGGCGCTGATGGTCTCTGCCTTGGGACTGTTTGTGGGTTTGCATCTGTCAGTGGAGGATCAGGATGTGAACATGCCAATTCAGAATGAGTTATTCACGCTTTTTTACCATATTAATTCATCCAGCAGCTAAATACATTGAATAAACATTTCATTTTTTTTTCAAATATTGACCGCCATTTTGTATGGGGGGGGGGCGAAAAGTTTGCATGCAGCTCATCATTGGTCCGTAACAGAAACTTTAAATTGCAAGTTGCTTCGCCACTTTTTAAATCAAAAGCGTTTTTATCTAGCACTCTGTAGAAGTAATAATTACCAGCACTGTTTTGATAGTGCGTGGCATATTTCTGTTTACATTTTGAACATAATTATTTTTTCAGCTCTGTGCCCACGGCCAGCCACAGTTTTGTAAACCACTGGTTGATTGCAAAAACTGCGCTTGTAAAGTGGCAAAAGAAAGGCCATAGATACCGATGCGGAGCATCGAAAACAAAAGTGAAATTCAATTGAAATTATCAGGCCGAGGACATTTTCAGAAGCATAGTATACTGTAAATAATGTACAAGCTGAGTAAATGTACTTTTTCGAAGCGTTCCCTTTCTTGTTTACTTTTCTCGGGGTGGGTGGAATGAAGTCGTAGGGGTTTCTATTTGGGCAAGATATTAATCAAAAGTGAAACAATTCTTGTGGCTCGACGCTGTCCACTAGTACAGCTGTGGCTCACTTGTTTAACTGGCATACCTCGACGATAATTGAGTGAGACATTTTTATCAAACTGTACATGAAAAGATGCGGGCATGTTGAGTACACGTTTTCTCAGTGTCATTTTAAACCGTAGTTAACTTTAATTAAGGGAATAAATATGTGCTTGGCCGGTCCTACATGTGCGTTTAATACCAGCTAAGGAGAGTGGACGTGACTAATGCCCGAGCCACAGGCGAGGTCATCATCAGCGTTCAGTCTCCAGGGCCGGTCTTAAACCACCGGCCAAGCACATGTTTATTCTCATTCATAAATACCCTTTTTTAGTCAGAAATCAAAAGAAGTCAATATATGACGGATTCCAATGATTTTAAAAAGATTTTTTACTCCAGTTCATTTTCCCGAACACATCCGTCCATTTTATTTTATAGTTGCCCAAAAGAATCTTCTCATAATGGACTTGATCTGTGCATGGCGACACACGTGGATACACTCTTGACCACTCAACATGGATTAAAACCGCGAGTCCCAAATCCTCCAATTTCAATGCGATTTTACATACACCCTAGGGGGGTTCGGGTAAAACTGTCTTGTATACTGGCGCGCGTGATTTATGCAGCGTGCATAATCACTTCTCAGCGGGCATTATTAAATGTTAATACACGGCCAAGTTGAGTAGGGAGACTGTCTGAGGTATTTATGAATTGTGTTTTATGACACAAAGTTAATTTGTATTTCACCTTTATATTCTGCTCCTCCAGTGACGGAATAGAAAGCTGTGTGGAATTAACAGTTGAGTATTTGGAGACTTTACCCTCCACAACCTTTTTTTTTTGGTTTCTGATTCATCATATTGTCACAGCTTTATTTGGACATTTTGTAAAACTGTATAAGATATTAAAGCCGGCTAAAGCCATTCTGTAAACATTCGCACAATTTGTACAGGAGAGGAGTATAAAAACCAGACATTCCAACCCAAACTGTGAATCATAATTTTGTCTTTAGAGGAGAAATATGAAACTTAAGCTTCCAAGTGCATGTATAGTTTCAAGCAAAATGCTGTGGAATTGAAAAAAAAAACCGGACACCGTTGTGGGAAAGCCACGTAACCAGCAAGAAGATTGAGAATAAAATGACCAGTGAAATTCGACGATCTTGATGTTCGTGTGCGTTGATATATGCGATACTCCAACCAAAATGAGATGCATTGACTTTTTTTTTGTACATACCCGGAAAAATCTCAGTGAGCAAAGGATCATGCCAACATTAATTTGTTGGCATGTGAAACTGTTCACAGGCATTTCGAAATACAATCCTCATTTCGTGATACGTAAACCTTTAGACACCAGAAAAACCGCCCTCTGCTCAATCCCGGCATCCAGAAAAGATGCTTGGGTCCGGACCAACACTTTATTTTTGCATGGTCAGCCCAATCGTTAGTCCGGTGAGGGGACTTGAATAGAGGAGTCTTTTGCTGTCTGGTGTTTCTCCCGACGACTATACGTTTCATGTGTTCACGGGGTAGAACCACGTCTGTAACTCACGCAGTTTGAAGATTTCAAGGTGTTCACGCCCAGGCTAGTCCAATTTCCTTACCTCCTGGCCCTTTTGAAGGGGTTCCTAGACTCGGAAGCAAATCAAATTGGTTGTTGGAAAGTAACTCCTACCATTTTCAAAAATACCGGACTTCCATTCTGGCTTTAAAAAGTTGAGGGTAAATCGGACACAAAGTTTAATCTACAATTTTGTTTTATTGACCACACAATGTAGTTCCGGTAATGGATCCAAAACCAAATTAACTTTAAAAAAAATAGAAATTCAAGAGGTGGAATCCATCGATTTTTGTCCACAACATACTCAACACGTAGTCTTTTTCAGGCTTGATGAATGTTGATTTCTTGACTCCATATTTGTTGAATTTGGACGTTTTCACGCCAAATGCCATATTTTCTGAGGTTGAAATCCAAATTTTTCTACTGCTTAAAAACGTACTCATTTATAACGACGGGTGTAAGATTCCGACGTGATTATAAAGTACTTTGTAAAATCAGTCTTTGCAAGCCTATGTCATGTCACTTCAGTTTCCATAAAATCCATCACTGCACAGCCAGGATCTCAAGTGGGTGAAACCCGCTCCTTGGCCGTTCAAAAATACACTTTAAGAAATTACGATGAGGGGCAGGGCCGGATTATCCAGGCCAAGAACTACGGACAAACAGGGGCCTACGAAAGACTTCTGAGCCTGTAAGCACGAAAAATACCGCGGTGTATCATAAATGCCTACGGCCTAACAGTCCGGCCTTGAAGAGGGGTTATGTTATGCTTGACAGTGAGAGAAATTATACCCAGGACGACAAGTGGCAAAGGGCCTCCCTAATGTGATGGGCAACCTATATACCCTAAGGCACCCGGGGGTGCCTAAACTGCACCCCCCGGAAATCGGAAAGGAATTCCAATGATCCCGTCAACACTAAAGAAGACACAGGGGGGGTTCACCCATATCGTGCATCAAATGTGAGAAATACACCGAAACGCTCACATGAGATTCACAACACGCACATGAACACATCTTTTGTGGATCACTGTTGCGCTTATGTGTTTTTGTTTTACCAAAGTACTTGCTAAACGTAACTTGCACATTTTCTATAGGAAAGCATGCATTCGCACCGTGACCTGAACAACCTTCGTGAAAATCAGGAGAACCCGATTCCTGTAAATTAAAACATTAAGCCTACATATGAATTCAATTCTACAATCAGTACGTTTCCGCGTTGTGAAGCGAGCCCCACAATTATTATTATATTATATTAATACAGCAAACATTTTGTAGTTTAGTTTCGTTCTTCTAAAGTGCATTAACTCAAACCCCCAAGGGTAAGTGTAAAATCATATTGAACTTATCAGAGGAGAGCGAGGACAGTTCCGATAAAGACGAGAACTTCCGCATATAAGGTACAGAGTCCCAGCGCAGTGTTTTGATCGATCACAAAGATCTTGCCGTACTTGTGCATTCGTAAGCTGCGACACGGTTTCGAGGGATTCCCCAGTCATTGTAGGTGGCCTGTCAAGTTTCCCTAGCCCTGGTGTGTTTTGATTCCGAGGAGACAGCTGCTATGCGGTATTTCCACAGCAAGGGCACATATAAGACGAAAAGGGGAAATCGTAGAAACAAAACTATACCGAAACATGAGCGAATACACCGTGTCTGATTTGGAGCAGAGATTGCTGTGGGGATTTCGGTCACGCACTGCACCAAATTTGGAAGAGGCATAAATTACCTTTTCTCATTTGTCATTTTTTTACGGAGTTCAAGGAACTGGGGAATTACCAAATATCATTTGTCACCTGACATTTAACACTGGCTGAATGCACAACGACATAATGCAACAACAGGAGAAAGCACTGCGGACAGATTTATATAAACAATGTAATACTTAAGGGGGCACAACTTCACACTGTTATCCGCTCTGGGCGGGACCAAGAAAGGGAGCATTTTTCCTAGCAAACGGTGGCTCCTTGGTGGAAACTCCATTTCGCTGGTACACGATAGACTATGAAATGCATGTATTGCGATTGAAAAACCGCTACCAACGTGAACACTCCCGACCAACACGGCTCTTTCAAGACGGACAGCGTGAAATAGTTTAGTATTTTCTTTCAGTGTCTTTCCTACGGCCATACATTCAATATGTTTGAACTGAGAGGATTTTTTGTAATAAAATCCAGAAGCTTTTCTGTTCTTTGTTTTTTTAATTCATGTGTATGGATGTTGTGAAGTTGATCACAGTGCATTTCAGAAGGGGCTCTCTGGGGTTTCTACTGCCGAGTCATGACTTTCAGTTGAGCTGGAGGGACTTTATGAAAGAAAAACTTTCCTTTGTCAAAGAAGTGAAAGTATATTGCGTGCAGCAGAAGTTAACCAACTTCATTGGTGTGAGCTTGCGAAGCCTCCGATTTTTTTATGCTTTCACTTTACAGTAGTACTCAAAGATAAACTTGACTCTTATCATAAGTACTATCCTGTTGGGAAATACGCCAAATATGGCAAGGCATATGCAAACGATGTGTGCTACATTTTATCAATTAATTATCTAGACCCAACGACTTGGAAAGACCTTCATATAAAGTTTGTGCTATCGGTAAGCTTGCAGGAATATGAGAAATATGGTAGAGTGTACGCGATAATTTGCTTTATAACATACAACATCAATTATCAAACTAAACTTTTCAACAAAGATGTGAAATATGAACCCGGTGGCCAATGGAGAAGTCATATGTGACCGGCTCCACCAAAATGGGTTTTATGGGAGATTTTTTCAAAGTCAATTACATACAAATTTGAATTGCTTAATTATAAGCTTTAATTTGGTGTAGGTTTGAACCCTGTGGCATTTTGCAATTTGGAGATACATGTATATTGATTTTTGCATAATCATATCATACACATTAACAGAATTGCTTTCAAAGATAAAGCCCTTTAAACACAGGTAGTGGAAAAAGAAATCAGCCAAGAAGAAAGTCTCTTGATACCCATAGCAACAGTTAGGTTTCTTGTATGAATTGTGAACTGATAAAATAGAAGCCAATAAACCAAGCAGTAAAAAAATCACCCTGTCCACATTAAGCCCTCAGTGTGAAATTACACTGTGTCCCATAATACCCTTTTAAACAGAGTGGTCACATATTGTAATGAACCAAGCATTACAAAGCATAAAACACCTTGCGTTCTGGTTTAGTAGTACTTCAATGTGGGAAATTCCCGTAAGTTGGGACAAACTTTCCCTGAGCACTCCAGGAAAGGAAACTGTTCCCACCCCCCACCCCAACAAAAGGGGTGGGACGTGCTGGTCATGGCATTTTCACGCATTACTTTGCATCTACTTTCTGTGCTCACATATGTGGGTTATCTGTTGAATGTTATTCAGTCTCTTAGAGCTTGATCAAAGTCTCTGACAGAAACAAACTACTGACAAATCAAACACAAGTGAAACTCTAAACAGATGGCATGAGATATGTGTAACGGCATTACATGTAGCTGAGCTAACATGACATCATAAAGGTGGGAAAATAACCTCTGATATATTTTGCACGAATCCCCTGTCAAAGGCCCTTCCGGGCACGAGACAGTCTCTTTGATGTGATAAGGCCTCTCCCCTGTGACCACATCCCCCTTCGTTTTTCCTCTTCGACGGCCTGAACCCTTTCGATTTGGCGACTCCGACCTCGACCCTGGACCACTTGTACCTCTCGTTGGTGGTCTGGTTGGAGAGGAGGAGGAAGAGATGGTAGGACAGGAAGAGGTAAACGAGGACGCCCAGAAGAAGGAGGGAAGTCAGGAGGAAAACCGGCGCCGGTAATTGCATGAACAGGTGCTGCACATCCATCACATTCAAAAAACAAACAAAAGGAGTAAAGCAAAAATGTAACTTTCAAAATAAAAAGAAAATCACACAATTGTGTAAAATGAAAAGAATCTGCAAAATGTTACCATGTCTATAGATTGCAAGTCTGAGTTTTTCCTATGATGCATTTCAAGAAACTGCATTTGCTGAGCACTTTCCCAGTTCAGGATTTGAACTGGCACAGACTTGACTGAAGTGAGCTCACAAAGAGCCTCGTGTTATAAACTCGTCTTGACTGGAGACATGGGGCCACAGCTCTTGGGGGGGGGGCTGGTTGTGGTGATACTCATTACAGACCCTGATCTGTTCTCTTAATCATTACAGAGGTGGGAACTGCGCAGAAGGTCCAGCTTTTGTGTTGTTTAGTGGTGGTGAGGGGGTCCTTGTGGTTGAAGCCAATAGACCTTTATCATGAAGCTGCCACATTTGTCTTGTTCCCCGTAGACTCATTAGAAATAGTAATACAACTTCACAAGTTGATAAAAGGGAACAGGCTATTTTTCCTTCCAGCCTCCGTTTGGTTACATTGCTTTGAATGGTATTAAAGCAAGATGGCTGCCCCGAGACAGAGGTCTATACAGGGAAGACTTTGGACAGCAATATTTTTGCACAGGTGTGTCTTCTTATTGTCACCGAGTTTGATGGGTAATTAGCTGGGTGCTCCAAATCTAATTACACTAAGTTACGGCAGTGGCAGTACAATCAACATTCAACAACACTGTTCAAATTTTATTACTCGGGGAAAGTAAAATATTTAATATTCTGCCAGTCAGCAGTGGCATGCCTGATGCACTCTATGCATCGCACTGATGACTTCTCTTGGATGTAGAATTCTGACTGTTGGCTGGGACTCGAATCAGCACAGTAGGGCCCTACTAAAAATGAGCCTTCCAGTGTTAGGAGGCCAATGGATGTACACAATGTACATGCACACAAATGACTACATGCTTAAAGACAAATAGAAAAATGGTTGAATGGGATGCTAGAGGTCACTGTACAAACAACTTTACACCTCCCCCCCCAAAGCAAACGATGCTCAGTGCAGGAGTAAAGTGCTCCTGATAAAAAGACTACCCTGTAAAACAACACCATCAGGAAGGAAGAGGAATAACAGCTGGGTAAGGCGTGAAGTAAGAAACAATCAAGTGAAGTGGATAATCGGGGCCTGTAAGTTCACAGGGTCAGGAAGGAAGAGAAGACAGAAACTGGGACAGGGTGAGCTCGTCAGAAATGATGTTAGAATACAAAGACTTGGTGCAAAGTTAACACTTGCGAAATAGCCAGGGATTGATTACACTTGGTACAGAAATGATAAGGGTCCACATATACTAGAACAGGCCTATAAATTACGTTGAGGTCAAAGTTTCATCTTGTTGCCAAGTAAGTTCACTTTCCACATGGCTTTGTAACACATAACTCTCACCACAGGAGGTAACCGTACAAACACTTCTATCTTTGCACCATCAGATTTTGTTACAAGAAGCCTGGTCGGGCATTGCAAGGAGCTTATGGACACTGCCAGAAGTCACTGCCAGTTGCTGTTTGCAAATTCCATAATGAAAAATTACTAGATACATTTTGAAAACCGTGATAATAACATCATTAGTCTCGACTGCCCACTGACACTATACGCTCTGCCTGGAGCTTTGAACATCACAAGCTAGTCGCTAATATGGTGTGGTGCGCAAATTGCTAACTGATGTATTTATAATATTTTCTGCAAAAAGAAACAAACTTTTTGCAAGCATGTTACCTCTGTGTGCTTACAGTGCATTGTTGCAAAAAGTTTAACGTTTCACCATGTATACTACAAGACCACTAAATGTCAACATTGACACTCATGGAATGGACATATGACGCTACTGAAATGAAATTGAACTGCTGGTGAGATATTGACATTGTGTCCGTATTCAGTAAGAGAAAAACCACTCATACTGATAAGTCAGTTCTGGGGCATTTGGGTGGCACTCCAACAGGAGTACAACCCAGACTCACCGGCACTAGTATGACCCATGGGTAAGTGACGGCGTACCCTTAATCAGACTAGGAGTATGCTCTCCTATCATGTGGTTATTTCATCTTGCAGAAAGGTAATTGTTGACTGTCCACGTGATGTGATCCAAGAGTCGGCACATATGCGATATATTTTATTTATTTTTTTATCTAAGTCTTTCTGGTAATGAAACCAAAGATTCCTCAAAAGTGCCCAATATTTTCTTGCATCCATGAGTATCAAAAGCACATGAAGCACAGGCGGGTGCAGCCGTGGTGTCCTCTCACACAAAGATGCCACAGATTTGTGCACATTCAGTTGAAAATAAGCAGTGCACACCACACAACTGCATTTGCTTCCTTGACTCTTCATGTGGGTGGGCATGACACAGCACAATCTACAGCTTTGTGTGACGTCCAGTACATAAATGTGCAGTGAGTTCGATTCCTTCCCTTGTGCTTACCTATGGTGTTGAGGTACGGTTAGACATGTTTGTAACAAGTGGCAATAAAGGAATGATATTGGGTTAACTCGAGGTGCCCAAATTGGGTCAAGAAATCATGCAGAGGTTAAAGTTGCTAAACAAATTTAAACACATCCAAACACATTTCTGGCTTTATTTCACAGAAATTGGTTGACTTGAGCCAATCTGCCTCTGCATGCAGCAATTTCTCTGAACTATTTACAATGGTATCAACTTTCTTCTATATTGTTTGACCAAGCCATCATATTTTTAACTTGTATTGTGGGATACATTCCAGAGTAACTGGCTCCCCAGGTTGGTTACTTAGGCAGGCTCGCATAAACACAAGATGTCATGTGAGCGTCACATCGAACACAGTTGTGTGAGCCCAAGTAAGCATGGGGAAGTTATCAAACATGCTGAGTAGTAAAATACTGCATCAAGACTATTTTGAAACAGTGTAAAATTACGTGAGCTCCAGATTCTGCAGGTGCATGTATTATGTCCAGTTCCGGCTAAATTATTACAAATTGGACGCAGCTCACTGTGCAGAACAAACGAATTTGACCCACCTGGAAGACAATGCGTGAGTTGACCTGATGATATTGTCCGTCCTTCCCTATGTAACCTGCCTGCCAAATGCCAGACCTGGCTGCAATTCCCTGCAGGACGCGGCCGATGACGTACGACATGTACATGGTCAGGAGCGTGATGCTAGCAAGCAGGAGGAGGAAATAGCGAGCGTTGCGTCCCCCGATACAGTTGTTGACCCAGGAGCAGTGGTGGTCAAAGCGATAGACGCAGTGGTCGCAATAAGCTGGTGGGCAAGCCAGACAGATATACACGCGCAGGAGTAAAGATGACATTTGGGAGTCCGGTTGGCATAATGGTTCTGTGCTCACCTTCCACTCTGTGGTACCGGGTTCGATTCCCGGCCTGGTCTCCAGGTGGATTGGGTTTTAAGTCCCTACCTGATTCCGTGGGTTTTACCCAGAATATTCCTCTGGGGTTTTCCTCCCACTTCTAAAACTGTAACTGCTTCCATTGTCTCATCTCTACAGGTTTCTTCAAGGCTTTTGAGCTTAAAGTGCCTAGAGCGCTCAGTTGAGGAATCCTTGGTGTCATTACCAGAAATTAAAATAACAACAAATTTCTGAGCACAACTTAATAAGCTGTAATACATTTACTGAGGATCTGTTATTTTCATCTTTTGTAAATATTACACTAAGTCAATGACCAATCTGAAATTTGCTGGGGAGATCATTTTTGAGTACAAAGCTTGTTGAGCTTGAGTGAGTTACAGACCGACTGAGTGACACTTTTCGCACTCAGGAAATGTACAAGTCAAGCAGCTTTTGCAAATGGTTTCTGATGAAGCAAGTGTGTTGAGAAGGATCAAATTTTAAAGTTCTATAGAGACTCAAATTTATTTTTCAACTTCTTAAAAACAAATTCTACCATTCTCTAGTGTAACACAAGTACCTGTTTCGGGTCAACTGGAATAACATATT